AGTGGATATCTGTGAATGAAACCTGAGATCCACCCCTAGCCATTTCTACTTGGGACCTAGTTGTAAGTTTGGGATTTTGTCTCTTCTATACTTTGTATTAAACTGTAGCTGAGATTGAGTGCCATAACTTTGTGTGTGGAACGAAGTACACTGTCTTTTGGTTGAGTTCAGCAGTAGGGTCTCTACCCTATGAAGTTGTAGTATCCCTGTAGGTTCCCAGAACCTCACATACTAGGGGAAAACAAATGTTAGCAACAACTGATGCAAACAATATACAGCATTAAAATAATTGCCCACAATCATGTACAATGAATCAAAATGCATTCCGCTGTCATATATAACTAATTAAAATTAATTAATTAATTCTAAAAAATAATAATTACCTGGTTCACACTGTGACAGCTACAATGTTAATTGCCACTAAAAACAGAAATGGTGGGGTCAGCAGTTGCCAATAGCAAAAGCAATAAGTAACCATAAACTAGACCTGGCATTAAAGCAAACAACAGGTGTCAACTATATCACCCACAGCAATAATAACTGCAACAGCATAAATGGTGGGGGGTGGCAGGAATTATATAAACCAGTTAGTTCTAAAAGATGGTTAAAAATACAGTTAAGTAAGAGAAAAGCAAATGGGACAGGAAGGTAGGAAAGAGTTTACAGTTTCAAAAAGTGAACAGAGAATGAAGAAGAGATACTGCAGGTGATAGTTATAAAGAAGCAGGAGAAAAAAAAATAAGAGATACAAAATAAAGGGAGAGAGAAAGAGAGAAMAACAGAATTTAGCTCTTGGCAAAAGAGAGAAAGAGAAACAAAAGAAACAAAAACAAAACAAAAAATTGCAAACAAATCCTAAACCTCAAAAGACAAGGCAAGAAATAATAACCACATTTTAAAAATGAGAAAAAAGAAGCCAATATTTGTATGTATATATGTCCACGAACCAATCAGCATAGCAAGAACTCAGGCATATACATTTACACACACACACACACACACACACACACACACAAGGCAAAAGAAAGAATATTTAATGAAAAATTAAGGGATCATTTCACTGAGATGGTCAAAATAGTCAACAAGAATGGGTAGTAACCGCTTATGACCGGCTCTCTTTCTTTCCATTTCTTCTTGAGCTCTGTATGGAGAAGGGGTTTTTGACCCCGTTCTCTTTTTGTGTTGCTCTCTGACCTGCCAGTTGGACTGGCTTAACCCTGAAGCTGGATTAATTAATTGTCAGCTTGCATCTCACCAGTATGAGGTAGGATGGAGTGGAATGTACTGTCAGATGGAGTTTTGTCCYCACAGACCAGATCTACTCTCCCAGGACTGCTGCAGAATTCTGAGTAGAGTTTCTGTAGCTGGGGCTTAGGTCTAATCAGGCCTCAGGGGCTTTGTTGGATGGTGTCTGCTCTGGAGAAATTAAATCAACACACTGACTTCCTTCGGGCCTGGCAACTGCCAATCTCTGACAGGAGTCTGGATCTCAGGAACCACCTGAGAATTCCACTCATGGAGCAGAGCAGCCAATCCTTCACATAGTCAGAGGCCCATGAGCACGGCTTTCCTGGRTTTAGTCCCTGAGTTTGTTCACAGCTGCCTGTTCAGATTCCTGACCCACTGCAGCAGCAGGTCATGTGAGTTCCCAGACTCAACGGAAAAGCAAGTTGGGCTCTCCTTTGCTTTTCTGACTTGAATTCCTCTAGGTAYCATCATCTTGGTGCCTGTTTCACACACATTCTGCTATGTAACCCCCAAGGCCACATGGCAGGCACTTGCCAGGACAGTGTAGTCGTGTTTGCTCAAATCTCCTAGATCCTACAGCAGTAGCTGTAGCGTAGCCTCCTCAAGATGGCTGGCCTCAACTCCCACAGCCATTTGAGAAACAGAACACTTTTCAGGTATCAGTGCACGGTGAAGCTTCTGGATCAGCTAAGTTCAGGCTTCTTTCCTGATCTCAGATTTTTCTGTATTGAATTTGGTATTTCTCTCTGGGTTCTCACTCTCTCTGTGCTGAACCAGTGCTGCTACCACAGTTGCTGCAACCCTCTTGGCTCCAATTTAGCCTTTCTTCTTTGTTTAATGTACCCCAATTTCTAAGTCTCTAAAACTCTGACTGTCCAATATTGAATTTTAGTAAAATCCCTTTTATCTACCTTCCTGAGGAACAGTACTCCCAGTGCTTGAATCCTGAGCTACATAGCAGGTAGATGCAAGCTTCCTGTAGCCCGCCATCTTGAATCACCTCTCAATAAGTTCTTTAAAAGATTGTTGGAAGAGTATTAACCAGAAACTTATAGCTAGTCTGTTGTCAATTTGCGGACAGAGAAGGCAGCAGTCTTGGGGCATTGCTCCTGATGTGGGCCTGGCAAGAGAGGAGCCATGTACCCTTCCTCTTCCAGCATCCTCCAGAATGGGCATTCCAGGAAAATGGTTTTTGTCTATTTATTCTTCACTGTTTCCCAAGTATACAATGCCTGCTACATGGTAGGTACTCCATAAATGTTCAAGGAAGAACAATAAAGGAAGTAGATTGGCTAGTTAGATTTGGGCACTTTTTGTGGGGGAAATTATGTGATCTCCTTCTTGTTTTGTATATTTTGTCCTCCAAGGACTTATTGGTTTTTCTCAAGATCCTTTGACGTCTCCCATCTTTCTTATTATTTTCTGCTTATCTCTTGAATGTACCTTGGGTTTACAGGGATTTGTCTGATTATTGTCTGATCCCATTAAATAGTATTTGACTCTTGTGTGGAAAAGACAACTGATCAAGCCCAAGGAGTCACAGCACAAGGTACTGAATACACTGGTGAGACCCCCAAATGGGGTCCCTGCTCTGTGTTCCAAAGGATGTGGCTGCCATGCATCTTTCACTGGTTCACTTCCCCTTTCTGAAGCAACCACCGGATCCCAGGTTCAAGTCTGTAAACTATGTAGAAACCCCTCATTCTTTCTGTCTTCTCAATTGAATTTCCACAATCAAATGGAACATTCTAGTAGGAAGTTGAACTAGCAATTACAAACATACATTCCCCCAAATCTTCTGAAACTCCTGATGGAAAAATGTATCCCAGGTAACCAAGAGAGCTATAGTTCCATAATTGGCAGCAGAGTTGTCATTTCTCTGTTAATAACAGGAGTATTTAAAAAAAAAAAAAGACCATGACTGATTCTTAATTTGCTCTTCCTGTGTAATCAACCCATCATTATAAGCAAGCACTGCAAATTGCCCTATATTTCTTGTGTAGGATAGAMCATTRCAATTCTTAAAATAGAATAGCTSCTGCTTCTGTCACCCAACTGCTAGAGAGCGCCTGCTTAAAAAGGCAACATTTACCATCAGCTTTTACTATCAAGGATTATAGTTTCTGAGAAATAGGAATCTGAGAACCACCTGACTGATAGAAAACCATTGGGCAACATTTGTCGGAAGGGAAAAGATGAGACTGTGCCTTATTCAAATGAGATTTTGTTCCAGGGAGGGTCACATGTCACCATAGAGAAGTTGCTACCTGCCTCCCAAATGCTCTAGCCTTTTTAATTGYTCTCCCTTAAATACTGCACCTAGGAATTAAAGCCTTGTTTTAAATCCACTGTATAGAAGGAAGATTTTTAAAATGTAAGTGATCTATTAGTCATATGTCTAAAGGGGGAACTTTGAGTTATTCATCTTCAAACATTTCTGCCAAGATAAATTACTACCCCACAATTACCACTCCCGTCCACTGCCCACTGAAGGGACAATGAGCATGATGCTACTGAATCCTCTATCTTGAGGGACGGAAAGGGTCTCACCACACTTCTTTTCCACATAGGGAAATGGAGACCCAAGGAAGCAACACCCTAAGGTCACACATGATATAGGTCACATCAGGAATCTAAGTCCTGAGCCCAACTACATGGCCCCAGTATTGGATTCCTGTGGCTGCTGTAACGAAGTACCACAAACCAGGTAGCTTTAAACAATAAAAATGTATCCTCTCAGTTCTGGAAGCCACAAATCTGAAATTCTAATCTAGGGAAGGACCCTTCCCTGCACCTTCACCAGGCATTCCTGAGCTTGTGAGCATGTCACATTATTAATCACTGTCCACCTGTCTTCACATGACCTTCTCTCTTTATTCTGTGCCTCTTCRTTAGCTATCTCTTATAAAGACACTTGGCATTAGACTTGGAGCCTACCTGACAATCTAGAATAATCTCATCTCTTTAATGACATCTTTGACAAATAAATTCACATTCATGGGTTCTAAGGATTAAAATATTTTTCRGTGGCCACCATTCAACCTATTATACTCCTTCCTTTACTAAAGTAGTTACCATCATTATATCCRCTTTTCAAAGTATTTGTCCTTTACAATGATGGGCCATATCTCTTTCTCTTCTTCCTATTTACAAATCCCTTTGGTGTTGGTTCTTCATATTTGAATAATTTTGGATTCTGGTTCTGTCGTTCACTAAAACAATGTGTCCTTAGGCAAGTTCTTTATCCATTTTTTTTTAAAAAAATATATTTTTTTATGTGTAGTTGGACACAGTATCTTTATTTATTTTTATGTGGTGCTGAGGATGGAACCCAGTGCCTCACACATGCGAGGTGGGCGTTCTTCCATTGAGCTACAGCCCCAGCTCTTTATCYGTCTTTTTAAGCCTCGATTTCCTTTGGTCTAAAATGTGAATGAGAATGTCCACTTCTTAGGGTACTTGTGAGAAATCCATCTGACTATAATGCATGTAGGTACTTAACAAAGTGCCTAGAAAAACTGGTGCTCAGTAATTGCTGGCTGATTGTAAGAGTCATAGTCACCTAGACCAACAAAATGTATGCATTGGGCATCCATCCACTGGGGGGCACATTTCTAGCACCCAGAAACTTTCCTTGCACCAACACAACAGAGCAACTTCATTGTTGAGCGTTGACTCATGGGCTCAGGGCCTGAKCAGCAGTGGGGGGAATTCCCTGGATTCTCTGCATTGTTTCTGTCCCAGCCCACACCATGGATCCTCCGGTCTGCAGCAGAGGACAGAATAAGGAGACATTCTGGTACCAGGAGGGAGACAAGATTATTCCTGCAACCATGGGACTAGTCCCTTCGGATCTGACCGGCTTGGGGCATCGCAACTCAGGGTTAGTGTTTGGGGTTTCTGAGTGGGGGTGGGCAGGCCAAGGCAGGCGTGTCAAGCCCTAGAGGGCTGCAAAGTCTAGGTGAGGCACCCAGTTATACAGCCCCAGGGATTCAGAAATTTGTCCTGAAGCAAAGAATCAAAATAGCCAAGCATCAGACCAGAAAACAACAACCAAGAAATGCATTGCTCAAAGATACTTCTTTCGTTGTGTTTTTCCAAACAAATGGAGGGCAGCATAGATTGCACTGTACTTTCATAGTGACAGTGGGTTGCCAGCCACACCCTAAATATTTTGCATTTATTATTATTTTTTATTTCCTAGTTTAATTTCCTCACGAGGAAATCAAATTTCTAAAATTTATGCTTCCTGCTGCCTTTACCCAGGACACTTCTACCCCCACGCACACACCATTTTGTTTGGGRAAGGTCGGTGAAGAGTCTGACCTCATGACAATGCTCACTTCCAGGGGATAATCAATCCAGAACCCAGGGCAATGATCCTGCCTGCACGCTGCTTTTTAAAAGGAGCAATCCTGGTATTTAGAACAGCAAAAATGAGACGTCAGTTTGGAACCAAGCATGTGTTCTCACACCTACAGGAGACCTAAATTTAAAGTCATGCTGATCTCATTACAACTATTTGCATTAATATCATTAATCCAATGATTTGAGCCACTCCATGTGACACAGATCAGGGTCTTTTTCAGGTCCCCAGAAATCTAGTTCATCACCAGGCATGGAATGCAAGAGCACGTCTTCTGCACCAATCCACGTCTCTTCATATTATAGGGGGGCAAGAATTCTTTCTAATTGTTTTCCTAGGTCTCCCTATGGTAACAGCTATGGTTCTTGATATTGTTATTAACCCTATGCCTTCTTAATGAACAAAAAAAAAATGTTCACATCCACACAGGTTATGTTATGCCTTTCCAGGGACATCTCCACCTCCCAGAATGAGCATCACAGGGTTTTGACCACAAAGACAAAAAGCCAAGGTCATGGCTCAAAACCTGTACCAGGCAGGTCCATATGTATAAATTCAACTCCAAACCTGACCTGTGTGGTCCCAAACAGTTCCCTTATGCTAGAATTACCCAGGCTAGAGAGACATGGATAGTGGTAATTTAACCACCTATAATGGGACCTAAGGTGGGGAGGTAGGGGGGAYTCAAATTATATTTGGCTTTTCTATATACATATAATTACTTATTTATGATTCAGAATACAAAACCAAATTCATTTGAAGTCTGTCAATATTTTATTCTACCAGCCAATATGTATTTACTCAACAAGCTTATTTGAATACCTGCTCTGTGTCAGATTTCATGCTCAGTGATTAGATTCTCTGATGCATAAGACCCAGTAAGAGGGCTGGGGATATAGCTCAGTTGGTATAGCCAAGGACCAGTATGAAGGTAACCATCACTGGAGCACACATTCTGCAGGAGTTTGTGCTGGAAAAGGTTGCTCACTGCTCTAAGCTTGTACAGGTTTGGTTATTGTTCCATTTACCTGACAAATGTTTTCTGAACCCTTACAAAGTTGAGGGATTTAAACCAGGAGCTAGGAGATGAGGATAATAGAGGAAATAAGACATGAATCTACAAAACCACCTTATGAAATAAATCACTTCCCATGAGGGAGGACATCAGAGGACTGCTTCATTCATTCACGTTCATCGTTTTATTCATTCACGTTCATTCATTTACAAGCATTGAGAAAAGCAGAGAAAGGAAAGTAAAACCAAATTTAAAACCCCAGAAAATGTAGATCATGGAATGAAGCTGAGCCAAATTTTATGTGTGTATTTCCCTTTTAAGCTACTTAACATAGGTACCCCACAGGCCTGCATCTCTGCATATTAAGCTTGGGAGGGTCAGAAGGGATAAAACACTCCCAAAGTACAGAGGTGTAAAACACCATTTTTGTTAGGATTTCCAAACCATTCCCTATTTCCAGAAAAAAAAATTGTCAAGTAAAAAATATCAAGAGTATCCCAGAAGGGCCTGGGTGCATGGCTTAACAATGTGCTTCTCTGGTATAAGATGAAGAGCTTCTGCAGGCAGAGRGGATCGAGGTCAGACTTAAATTGTGGATTACTCATGTTCAGTGACTGTGCACAGGAATCACAAAGATGCAGCTGAAGGTAAAAGTTAAGAGGTGATCGTGTCACTATGGACAAGATGCTGAGGGCCTGACCCAGTGGGTCCCAGAGAGAATTGGCAAAGACTCTTTGGAGCAAGCAGGAGAAAGCAGCAAACCTTCTAGTATGCCGGCAGCAGAGGATGAGGCGTTCTTTATATGTTTTGTAGAAATTTACCGGATTTAAGCTGTTTACCAATTAGAAAGTGCTCAACAATTTGTCCTACTATCAGTTTGGAAAGGTTTTTTTAGCCAAAGGCTAARCATTTGAAATAATCCTTAAAATGCAAAGGAAGGAAAGGTGTATACCAAGTTATTTATAGCCTTAAAATTAGTTTGTTCTCTGACTCTGGTGAGTTTCTAGGGTGAACCGAGTCCCAACTACTGACACCAGGGCTGGCCACAGTCCTACTGAATCAAGATCCCAAAGGTGGGGCGTGGGGATGGGTGTTTATAATAAGTTCCACGGAAGGTGCTGAAGTAAACCAGATTTTGGTCAGCAGCATGATGGGCGTGAAAGGATGTGACTAGTCCCCAACATCAGACATCTAGACAAGAAAGAAACCATGAGATCCAAGATGGCACAATTAAGAGGCAAGAGAGAAAGCACAGGCAGAAAGTTGTCACTCGGGGAAGGTCAGAACCAGGGGACTTGGTTAAAAACATGGTAGGTSTAGAGTAATAGGCAGGTAGGAAAGGGGAAGGCGCAGAGAAGAACTGCACTAAGAGACTCATAGAGTGCCAACGCATGGCTAATTGGGAGACAGGGGAGACAGGGGTGCTACAGGACAATGAACAAAATCATGACAACTAAAGGGGCAAGACAAACCTGAGCTCTCAACTTCCTGGGCAGTTCCTCAGCGTTCGTGTTGACATTTCTGTATGACTACTTCTGCTTTGGATGAGCCAAAATCTCTGTCTACATGAAGTCACCTATATTCTAGATGGTCGGTTGGTAAAAGAGAATTTCAAGATCACATCTGTCAGTGAATAGAAGGAATTGGGTCTTCTGCCCCGTAGAATAGACTAAAGAAATATCTGCATGGTCCTGATGAGGAAACGGAGAGTCTCTAGGATTCTTTGTACCAGACGAGTTCCTGGCATGGCAGACGCCCTTCCAGTTGTGTTCCTTGAATAGCACTTTGTAAATGCCCCGTGACTTTGGACCTCCTCCCCACTGTGTCTGATACTTAAACTATTTATTTTGTGAACATCYAACAGACAGAAAATTTCATGAAACAGAGTAGAGGAAAAGAGAGGCATATATATACTTGCTAAGCTTTTCCTGCAATAGTTCCTATTTTTCTCTAAGAAAAATAACAGTGCTAGCTTCAAACAACTGGCTTTGGATTACTAGGAGTGCCAGAGGCCACCTCTACCATCCTACTCACTTCTCAGGCAGTATGCCTCATTGGCAAGACTTCTGTGTTTGATACTAGGAATTCCTCCTGGTATCCTTCCCAATCAGAGCAAATAGATATATTCATGTTAATATTTCTACATGGCCTCTGCTGGTTTGGATGAGTTAAAATTATAAATGGTCAATAAGGACCAAAGAGGTGGCCAGTAAATGTAGTCTGTGTGTGTCATTGTGACTACCCGGTGCCTGGATCCTCAAGCGGTCCTGAGACTTTCCTAGGAGAACAGATGTCAGGTGGTGAGCAGCCACATCTATGTTGACCAGAGAGGGTCTGAACAATGATCCCACCTGCACTCCAGCCCTGAGCTCTCGTCTTTCCTCTCTTAAGCACAGGTTCTATGAGCGCAGGCGCAGTTCTGTGGTGCTGAACTTACCTGGACTCGAGGTGTTTCCTGGGGACCTTCTGGTTTCTGATGGAGCTGCGGATTACCTGTGCCACCCACTGCTGCTGCTGAATCCAGGTCCCGTTCATTCAGCCTATGTTCATGATATGCCTGCTCTGAGACAGAGAATGCCCTAAGCCAGGAAGATGTTCCCAATAGTTAAAGACTTGTGAAATACGTGCACTGACCAGTTAGAACAGAAGTCTCGCCAGTTAGAACAGACCCAGGCCTGGAGGACCGGAAGCAGCTGACTCCCAGTCTTGGTTTCAGGCATTCCATTTACAGAGATGGATAAGGCATGGGTCTCCCCTCACGATGTCCTCTTGTCATCATTTATTCCAAGTTGAGGACCCAAGACAGCAGCACCAGTGACAGTGACCATTTTGGACCAGAGTGTCCTCACTGGGGGATGATGGGCAGCTTGCCAATAATTGTTACAAAGCTTATTTCCCACCCACTTCTGAACTTCAGCCTCACATTGGTCCTTTCCAACCAGAATGGTCCCAGCGGGTAGCAAAGGTGGTAGAACAGATTAGTGTCTAACAGGGAAAGGCAGCTTTAGGGCTGATTCCTCGGCTGTGAAAGAAAAGAGCAGTTGTTCAGGGTGCTTTCCTCATGGTTCTGAGGGTAAGAAAATTGAAGTCTTTGATAGCTAAAAATGAGGTCTAAAGATTGTCCATAATAGTAGCTTTAAGCTGGTTTTATTCCTAGCTGGGTGTTTTACCTAAAAATCCTGACTTCATGACAATCCAAGGTATAAAATAGATCTAGGTAAAGTTGCATTGACTAAATCTTAGAAGACCCCAAAGACTCACACCAGGCGATCCCCAGAAACCTTGGATACCTGGTAAAATAGTCGGAAAATAATCAAGCTCATTCCTTATTCACATCTGTGCAAAGTGAGACCCAAGAAGGAGAAGCAACCTAGTCACCATGTGAGCTGGTTAGTGTCCAGGGAATGGATCTAAGCCCCAGAATTCTGGTCCCCAGCTCTTTCCACCAGTCTGTATCAGTCACCTACCATGGGCAGATGTAGCCTTCCGAATGTGGAATGCAGAAGCCCCAGGAATACAGAAGAATGAACAGCTCTTCATTCTGTGTAGATCTCTTCCACAGCTACTATCTATTGTGGCACAACACATAAGGACCAACATCTATTGTCCCCTATGCTACCACACCGCAAATAACCAAACCAAGGGGAAATGGGGATGTTCAGCACCCACCCCTCCAAGGCAGAAGTAGTTCTGAACCCAGTGTATTCTTAACATAGGTTAGGACACGTTTCATGATGCTTCATAAACACTCACACTCATGCACAACTAGAGCAGGGGTTCCCAAGGCTGGTCTTAAATCAGCAGAATCGGCATCCCCCACCCCAAGAAGTTGTGAGAAATCCAGCTTCTGGGGTCCCATCCCACACATACTGAATCAGGAACTCTGAGAGTGGTGTCTGGCAATTCACTTTCTGCAAAGCTCTGGTACCAGCTGAAGTTTGAGGAACACTACAGTGAGGAGCAAGGTCATGATGGCTGTGTGATGCTTCCATTTCATACTAGCTGTTTTGTAAGTTGTGCGCCTGGGGTCATAGCAGGCACCACATAGTACAGAAGACAAGCAATGTTCTCTACCACAACCCACCAAGCCCACTCCTCAAGGTGTTTAGAATAGAAGTCTCATGTTCCAAGTTCACAGTCTATGGCAGGGTCTCTCAAGCCTGGATGCACATATGTGCCACCTTCAGATACTATTAAAGTAGCTTAATTCAGCAAAGATAATATTTAAGATAGATAATGAAAGATTGTGGTTTTAATAAAGACTCATTCAAACCTTTTTCTGAATATTTATGAAGTATTCAGAATTATTTTCAAAATTAGAAAAAAAAGAGGAGAGAAATTTGCCAAGGATCCCAAATATTGCATTTCAAATTGCATAATTTACCACTAGTCATTTGAGGGCTAAGTATAGAGAATCTCATTTGTCCCTACAGGAAATTTTACCTACTCTCCCATTTATAAAGATCAATAATGTGGTCATAATAAATGAGAGGATACTCAGCTGGGCTGATTAGGTCTCATCCAAGGTTACAGTAGAGCAGGTCCCTTAAGCACATCCTATGAGTGAATGTTGTAATTACTTCTGTTTGATTGAACATTCAAAAGACACCCGCAGTGAACCAGACTTCTGAAAGACAGACCTATACGAYTTCTATTTTCTATACCGAGTGGTCAGAACATCCTATAAATCTAAGAGGGAATTTCCAGCTTTTTTTTTTTTTCTGAGCAGCAGAAATAACATAAAAACCAAAAGATCAGAAAAGGATCAAAAGATCTTTATTACCTGGTCACCAAAAGAATGTGTGACTGAACAATGACTCTCTTCTCATCCCAAAGCCACTCCTAAAGATGATTTGGATGGTGACCAATGGCAACAAGACAACATATAAAGATTGGTGATGTCATGTTGATGTCCCCTATCTCAGGAATTCTCATTTAATGGCATCTGGGGATTCCTGAGTTGATAGAAACTGAGTCTCAAGTTTGGTCAGGTGATTGAAGTCTGTGTGGTGGAATATGGCATAAGAATGAGGGCCCAGCCCTTTCAGCCCAAAAGCATTATGATTCTCTAATAATTACTCAACATCTTTGTGTGTATGTGTGTGGTGCTAAGGATTGAACCCAGGGCCTTATATAAGCGAGGCAAGCACTCTACCTACTGAGCTATTTCCCCAGCCCATTACTCAACAACTTTATTACAGTTCATAGATTTCTCCCCAAGTGATAATGGAAAGGAATCTAAACAATACCCTAGTAAAGACCTGCATGAGCCAGGTGTGTGACCTGTAATCCTAACAGCTCTGGGAGGCTGAAGCAGGAGGATCATGAGTTCAAAGCCAGCATTAGCAACTTAGCGAGGCCCTAAGCAACAGCTCAGAGAAAACCTGTCTCTAAATAAAATGCTAAGTAGGGCTGGGAATGTGGCTCAGTGGTTAAGCACCCCTGGGCTCAATTCCTGGTACCTGCATGATTCATCTTTAGGCAGCAGAACCAGGTCAGACACTGCATCATTCACTCCTTTGCAAAAATATAAATATTCATTCTATGTATTTTCAAAAGAATGAAAGCAGGATGAATTCTGTTTGGCTTATTTTCAAAAAGGAAGTTTCACGAAGCACTGCAAGGATCTGTCACCAGTTGCTCTGAGTTACAACATGTTTGCTTTTATTTCACCCACCAGAATCCAAGAAACCAAGATGGCCTTTCTCCAAGAGAGGAGTGGTAAGTGTCTCACGTTGTCATTTTTTGTTTTTAATTAAGCCTCCTGTAGCTAAGAAAGTAAGAAACGGCTGAAGAGTCTTTTTATTCTGCTTTCTCTCTGCCTAAAAGCAGATGGCACATGAAATGTAAATGATATCATCACATCCACAGTATTGGCGATAGAACATGCCAAATGGTGTCATTTTTGTGCAGCAAAACAGTGCTAATTGCCAGCAGTTAATGAGTTCTGCAAAGACGTGAAGCAGCTCTAACATGGTGATGCTTCACAACACGGAATTTATACCCTGGTATGACTGAGGATGCACACACACCCCCGTCCCCCTGTGAAGTAGAACTTACATGAGTGTGTGCCCTGGGTTGCAGGCAGCGCCGTATATATACTGGGAACATTAAAAAATTCATGAGGTATTACAGAAACYGATTCCACAAATACACTTCTATTTCTGGGAGAGTCTGTTGGATTCATCCTAGTGGGTTTTTAAATTTGTTCTTGGTTCCGTCAATTATTGAAGAGTAATAAATCTGAATCAGCAGTCCCCGAGTCCTTAGGGCCTAGGAAAAGTCAAGCCTTTCCTGGCAGGCCGTGGGTAGAGGGGGGAGTGTTCATGATCATGACTGCACCCCAGCTCCTGTTTTCTGGAGAAAGGGAAAAGACTGGTGTTGGCCTCTGGCAGTACCAGTTTTGAGACCTGTATATGGCAGCCGACAGCTGGGAGGCCTTATGGGAAGTCACTGTGCCTTGTTCTGTTAAAAACCTGCCCGCATGGCCTCTCCAGTCAATCTATCACCGGTTGCTGACATCTGCAGTGGTTCTATGGACACATGTTGTCTTGACATGCCTTTTAATTCCAGTAGCTAAATTGAAATCCCCCTGTGGTTTCAATCCCAGCTGCTTTACTTCCTGACCCAGGACCTTGGCCCATTGATACACTTTCCTCAGCTTCAGGTTTTTTCCCCCCCATAAAAGGTGGAAAGTCACAATGCCAGCCCCACAGAGTGGTTGGGATAAGGGAATCGTGACATACATGGAGCATCCCCCAGAGCTGAGCACTCGTAAGCAATCAAGAGTGGCCCTAGTAGTAATAGTAGTATTTTTAATTAGAGTTTGGAAAACTACTTTCCCACCAACTGGCTGGGCCGATGAGATGAGCTGGGTGCAGAGGTGCTGGCTGCAACATTAAGCTAAGAAAACGACGACGAAGAAACCACACAACACACAGACATGAGTTTCTCAGGTCGAGGGTGGGACTGCTCTGTGACCTCAAGGGTCCTCTTCCTTGCTGGAAGGCAAGAGAGAAGTGTCCCCAGGACCCCTCTATTTATTAGGGAAAAGACATTCCATAGAATATTCCACCCAAATAAGGCAGGAAATAGAATTTCAGAAAGGGGTTGCCCAATCCCTTTGGGTAACGCTCAAGCCCAGGGCTGAAGCCCTTCCTTGCCAAGCCAAGGTAAGGCCCACTTGCTTCGCACCCTATGTGGCCTGCRATGCCAGTTCAGTACCTTCATCACTCGGGGCTGAGGAGGGTGCTTTGCTCGTGCGCAGGACAGCCCCCGACACGACCTATTTTCACAGTCAGATTTATGATGGACTTTCACATGATTGTTTTTCAGAAATAAAAATGTTCATACAAAATGTGATCTGAATATTGCAATTTGCAAATCATAACCTGTCGATAACGGGGTGACACCGTTGTCACTGAGGCTGTTGTCTTCAGCCACTCAGGGATGTGCTCCATTTCCTGGTAGGTCTGAGACAGGGCAGCCTCTCCTGAGCACCTTCCTGGTGTGAACGGAGGCAGGGCTGGTCACTAGTCGGGTCT